GCATGCATGTATGAGTGCATGCATGTATATCTGTATGCAGGTATGAACACACATATACATATTCATATATACATGTATATAAACACATGCAACCTGTTTAAACTTATGTGTGCATACAGACTCAGCTCTGAACTTGCTTCGACAATGAAGTCTATGACGGTGATGCAGACCCCTGATGACAAACTACCTTACTATGAAGGGCTTCGCAATACGATCCGGGTGTTTTAATGAATCAGGGGTCTGCATTCGCGATCAGAACAAAAATTGAAAAGAAACATCAATCGCACGAGCAATAGCAGCAAACTAGACAGCAGAAGTCATCACAGCAGCCCCGGCAATCCGAATCAAGCATCCCGAAACCCTAAACCCCTAAACCCTAAAACCCTGAACCCTAAAACCCTAAACCCTGAACCCTAAAACCAAAAACCCATTACAGAGCCCTCAGGGAACCCTTGGAGTCACTTTGAAAATCATGGCAACAAGAACAATTCAATCATTAAGCCCACACCCCAGGGCTTAGGGCTTAGGATTTAGGGTTTAGGGTGTAGGGACACTCAAAGCCCCCCCCCCCCCTCTAAGATAATGTCGCGAAACCCTTGAAGGAAGGTCCACACCACTGCAATAATGATGGGCAAATCAGCTGCCAGCCTTTGCGGCATGCTTGTGAAAAACCACAGAGGACAGTGTACAACTGCAAGAAATCCAAAAGAGCTTCAAGCAACTCTTTAACAACATAAAACGATAAATATATACATATATAACTTATGTATACAGAGCGAGAGAGAGAGAGAGAGAGAGATGGAGATATGTGTGTGTGTGTGTGTGTGCGTGCATGTGCGTGCGTGTGGATGTGTGTATGTGTGTGTATATTATATATATATATATATAGATAGATAAATAGAAATATATATTTCTATATACACCTTAACCCTAAACCCTAAACCCTATACACAGAACAACAGAGAAGCTCACTCGAACCTCCGGCTCGGTGGCTTCCAGCTTCAGGTCGAAGCGCCAGCGGCCCCCAGAGGCCCGGGTGATGACCAAATTGCCTAAGTAGGAGTCAGGGGTTTAGGAGCTAGGGGTTACGGGTTAGGGTTTAGGAGTTAGGGGCTTAGGGGTGTAGGGATTTAGGGGTTGGGATTAGGGTTTAGGGCTGTAGGGATTTAGGGTTTAGGGTTTGGGGTTTAGGGATTATGGGTTTAGGGATTTAGGGTTTCGGGATTTAGGGTTTGGAGCTAGGGGTTTAGGGGTGTAGGGGTTTAGGGATTTAGGGTTTAGGATTTGGGGTTTAGGGTTTAGGATTTAGGAGTCAGGGTTTAGGGGTTTGGAGATTTAGGATTTTGGGTTTAGCGTTTGGGGTTTAGGGTTTAGGGTTTCGGGTTTAGGGTTTAGGGATTTAGGGATTTACGGTTTGGGGTTTGGGGTTTAGGGTTTAGGATTAGCGGAATCCTTGGGGACATAGAAGGGGCCTTAATAACTAGGATCCCTTACACCGTTAAGGATACCTAGCATAATATAGGCGGCTTAATACTTTCAGGTATAAGGATCTTAGGGTTCTTAAGGTTTAGGGCTTGAGGCTTCCGTAAGAGTTACTATAAGGGCGTAGGCTTCTTTGGGGCTTTCGGCCTTGAGGGTTCAGGACTGTAGGATTCCAAGGCTTCGGCTTTGGGGTTTGGTATGTTGTAAGGGCTTGAGGGTTTAGGCGGGCTTAGGGTTTTAGCTACGGAGGCTTACTTAAGTTACCATAGTGAGGAAACCATATTACTTACCATAGATCCCTGTTATGATAACTTAAATTAAGTTCCTTGACAAGAACCCAGCTTAGGGTTTTAGTGTAGGATTATCTGGGAACGTTGCTTGTCTTCCTTGCGACCAAGCCACAGAGGGCCACAAAAGGTCGCAAAGGACTGAAAGCCACCTCCCACACGGCACAGCCAAGGGGATTTAACCGCAAAATGGGCCCTTTTATTAGTTAGAATAGGGTTTTGGGGGATATCATACTTTAATTACAAGGCAAACCCAAAATAACATTGGTAATTATTCAGGCCCTGCATTCCGCACTTCGGGGGATGGCGGCCTGTCTGCCTCTGTTTGCAATGAAAAGACATAAGGAGTAAGCACAGACGATTTAGGGTTTTAGGGTTTAGGGTGTAGGTCAAGTACTGAAGAGCAGTGCCTAGAGCAATCAGACAAGTAGTTCGCAACAGGAATAGTGATAACAAGACTGGTACCTGGAGACTGGTACCTGGTATAGGTAAAACATGGTGAAACAAACTGAATGGTGATGATCATGATCGTGACTCATCATCATCATCATCATCATCACCATCGTTCTCATCATCGTCAAATGTATGGGCACATCAGAACATGTGCGAACAACTCTTCTGTATCTGTTTGCAAGTCTACCTGCACACCTGCCCACCCACCCACCAAACTAGCTACCCGTGCAGACACACAGAGGTATTCACCTTTCGAATACATCACGAAAACAGTCATACATGTCAAATGCATGCATGAGTACATACCATACACTATTTGCAGAACAGCCACAGGACCACAAGAGAAAGCGGCATGGGACAGCATGGGAGCGGAATCCCTAAACCCGGCACCCACAACCCCGAGCCCTAAGCCCTGAGTCCCCAAACTCTAAACCACGCCACGGTTTAGGGCTTAGGGTTTTAGGGTTTAGGGTTTAGAGTTTAGGGGTTTAGGGTTTAGGCTTTCGGATTTAGGGTTTCGGGTTTAGGGTTGGGCCTTCAGCATCACCTGACCATCGGCCGTCCTGGCAGACCGCGCCTTGGATGCCTGCGCAAAACGGCACTTCCAACACTCCTGAAGATCTTGTAAGGGTTCGAAGAGTTTAGGGTTTAGGGTTCTAAGGGGGAGTTACAAGAGTTCCATAAGGGTTGTATGAGGGTTCTGGAGGGACCACTGTAACGTTTGCGAGAAGTGCTGTCAGTTAGATTCCTATATGGATTCATGCTTGCCCAGAGTCCACCAAAGGCCAAAGGTTACTTTCCGATTCTGGGGTCCAAAGGTTCTGTAAGAGTTCTACAACGGTTTCTTGCAGGGTATTCATAAGGTTTAGGTACGGGAGTTCATGGTTTCATGTAGGCCAATGAACAATCACACACACCCCTTCTTTAGAGCAACACCATTAAAAATATTCAAGACCCCTACTAAACGATGCAGACTGAAAGGATCGCGGCTCTATATTGTGCAGCTAAGCGTCCGTACCGGCATCGAACTGTCAGCATGGTCTCTAACAACAATATAACAAACAGTAGCCGCGAAAAAAAAAGCAACGAACGATAACCACAACAATAGTGATGGTGGTTGCATCAGCTTGCAGGCTAGAGCGCCTTTCAGCTTGCGATTGCCGTCGCCAGAATTCGAAACTGAATGACACAACTACTGCTAGCTGCCAGCGGCTAGAAATAATGATCACAGTTTCCTGCTCCGAGCACCCGTGCCTGACTGGAAGCCGTTCGCACAGGCGCCTTCGAAGCGGAGACGTGCGAAATATGGTTTTAGGGGGCTTAGGGTGTAGGGCTTAGGAGGGCTTACACGGTTAGGCAGTTAAGGCTTTGGGGTTTTGACTAGAGGGTTGAGGGTTTGGGTGGTAGGCGCAGGGTGCATGGACCCAAATGAGAGGATGCAAAGGTGGACCCTAAACCCTAAACCCTAAACCCTAAAAACGCGGCTTTCTGAGCCTCGCTGTCCAAGCTGATGTCAAAGCACTTGGAGACCTTGAAGTACCAGTTTAGGGTTCAGGGTTTGGGGTTTAGGGTTTAGGGTTCAGGGTTTAGGATTTAGGGTTACAGGGTTGAACTGGAATTATAACAGTGATGGTTGATGGCATTACGAGTTGTACGCGAAAGTTGTGATCATGAATGCGGCTGCTATGGCCATTGTGACTGTTGCTGCTGGCATCAGCCATGTCTCAAAACGCCGCTCAGTTGCCATGGCCTGATGCTGCGGCGGCACTTCCAATTGGCATGAGAGCTGATCGCCATGCCTACCAAGGCAGGTCTTGGGAAACTCTTTTCTAATTATTCAGGTTTATTATACCATAATTATAATAAGGAACCCCAAAATAGTAATTATACTGTAGACTGTAACTACAACAAGGAACCCCTAAAATAGTATAGGTGAGTTTTTAGGCCTCTACATTACCAAGGCACGTCTTGGGTTGGTCTGAGGGTCTCTAGAAAGGCTTCTGCTTAAGGGTTCTTTGACAAACCCCAACCTGTCTCCAGGCGTGGTATCCAGGCCGATCAGAGTGAGAGCATAGGTGGTCTGCAAGGACTCGCGTGCTTGCACCTTGTGTCGTCTTCTGGGGCTCAGAGGCTGGGTCGAGGGCTTCGAGGGTTTAGGGTGTAGGGCTTTGGGTTTAGGGTTTAGGGCTTACGGTTTAGGGCTTAGGGTTTAGGGCTCAGGGTTAGGGCTTAGGGCTTAGGGTTTAAAGTTTAGTGTTTAGGGTTCAGCTTTCAGGGTGTAGGATCAAGCTCGCATTTTGTGGATTAGGCTTCCGGGGCGCAGCTCCGGCTGCTACTGATGCTGCTGCTACTGCTACTACTACGACGACGACGACGACGACTACTACTACTACTACGGCTGTAGGGTCATCATTATCCTGATGATGGTCGGGATGATGATGGAATCTTCGCAATAATATCCCCTTCATCGTCCCTGTATGATGTACTACGATGAGCCACACAGCCCTGAAAAAGTCACCAAGGTCCCTGACCTAGGCTCTGAACCCCTATACCATCCCTGTACTCCATATTAGAATCCGAAACCCTATAGTACCCTTTAAGGGGGACCCTGTCATAGAACCCGAAACCCTGTAGTGCCCTTCAACGGGGACCCTGTTATAGAACCCGAAACCCCAAAACCCTAAACCCTATACCCAAAACCCTAAAACCTAAACCCTAAACCCTAAAATCCTAAAACTCCAAACCCGATTGAGCATCGCCACCGTGAAAGTGTGCAGCGTGGGATCCGCCGGAGCTTCTGCGACACCTTGAACACGGTAAGACCACGTAAGGTTTGGCTTCATGACCTCAGATTTCGGGTTTAGGGTTTAGAGTTTAGGGTTGGGATGAGGGTCCCTAAGCCCTAAACCCTAAGCCCTAAGCCCTAAACCCAATCCTGTAAGGATTGTAAGGTTTAGGGCATTGGGTTTGGGGTTTAGGTGGGTTTAGGGTTTAAGGACCCTAAACCCTAAACCCTAAGCCCTAAACACCTGTAAAGCACAGGGCATCGGGTTGGGGGTTTGGGTGTTTGAAAGATCGGCCCCGTACTCTGCCCGTATAGTCCCTATAAACCCAGAAACGACTTAGGGTTTAGGGTTTAGGGTTTAGGGTTAGGGTTTAGGGTTTAGGGTTTAGGGTTTAGGCCCGTAGATGTTTAAACCCTAAACCCCTGATAGTGGATTAGATCCCACAATCTGCATCCTGGCTCTTGCGACCGGAGCTGGCAATGTGCGCTCGCCGAGAACGCAGAGTAACCAGAAACCCAGGGACTGAAATCCAAAACTGCAAAGCTGCTGAAAGCGCAATCTCTGCAGTGTGCTGAGTCATAGTTGGCGGACAGAACGAGAAGGGAATCTGCGTGGTCGCCAACGGTCCGATTTGCACCTTCTCAAAAGCTATCACTCTTCTAGTGCGCATTGGTACTAAAGGTATTACTACTTCCATCGGTGTGGCGATTCGCTCTCTGTCTTGGTCATCACAAACAGAGAAAACGAAGAAGCGAATCACGCTCTCGCAAGATTCTTGTTCTCGCGACCAGTACATGTAAGTACCGTGATGACGGCAGGAAAGCTGATGCAATACTGAAAACCCTGCACTACTGACCACTGCTAAATACCTAATATATAGGTGCGTGTATAAACACATACAAATATTTGCTGGTATCTGACTGCTTCTCTTTTGCGTTTGCATCCCGTCCTCAAAATAACTTTAAAAGGTTGTGGTGATTACTGTCCAAAATGCTACTACTGCCTCATTGCCGACATCCTCGTTGTCATAGCCAGCACAAGTTCATAGCAATATTAATTCTGCTACGACGACTGACTTGAAGCACGGTGTTCATCTACAGGATTTTGAGGCGGACATGAATCCACACCCGTAAGCCACACCCAAAAGCTAATGTAGGGACCTTAATAATTAGAATAGCATTTTGGGGTGATGCGGGCGAAAGCCTGTCAACGCAAAGCGAAACAAAGGACGACATAAGCATTCTGGGGTATGTTGTACTATAATCATAATAAGGAACCCCAAAAAATATAGGTAATTATTTAGGCCCTTATATTAAGCCCCAAAAGGCCTGCCTTCGCCTTCTTGCTCAGCAAGTTGAAGACACCCTTCTCGCTCTTGGACTCGAGCACGATGAAAATCGTGATCGTCTCCAAGAACGGGTTCCTGTCTGGGTTTCGGGTTTCGGGCTTGGGGTTTAAGGTTTAGGGTTTAGGGCTGTCTGGGTACATGTTGGGGGCCCTATAATTAGAATAGGGTGTTGGGGTTCCTTCTTATCACTATAGTACAATATACCCCAAACCCTATTCGAATTATTTAGGCCCCTATATTACATATTAAGGCGCGCTGGCTCTTCTTTAGTCCGGGCTACAGAAAATAGAAATGGCCCACACTGCACGAGGGCTTAGGGTTCAGGGTGCACTGGAAGATGACTTTTCCCCATATTTTAACATCCTCGAATACCCTAAACCCTAAACCCTAAACCCACAGCCCAAAATCCTAGACTCATCAACCGGACATCCTGAGCTCGAAGCCCAAGAATCCTACACCCCAAGCCCTAAACCTCCAACCAACTCCACATGCCAGGACTAACCCCCAAACTTAGAAATCCAACTTCCCATACCCTAAACCCTAAACCCCTAAACTCTAAACCCTAAACCCTAAAACAAAAACCCTAAACCCCTAAACCCCTAAACCCTAAACCCCCAAACTCTAAACCCAAACTCCGCATACCAGGCCGCTTGAACTGGATGGTCGACGACACGGTGCGGTTCACCTGCGCCGCCACCGTCACGCTGCGCGCTTCCAGGGGAGGCAGTCCAAGGCCCTGCGCCTGCGTTGGGTTTGGGGTATAGGGTTTGTTTTTAGGGTTTACGGTTTAGGGTTTAGGGTTTAGGGTTTAGGGTTTAGGGTTTAGGGTTTAGGGTTTAGGGTTTAGGGTTTAGGGTTTAGGGTATTCTACTATGATGATAACAAGGAACCCCAGCAATCGTCTCACCAATTATTCAACCTTCTATAGTAGGGTTTGGGGTTCAAGGACCTAAACCCTAAACCCTAGACCCTGTACCCTAAACCCTAAACCCTAAACCCTAAACCCAGACCCTCTACCCTAAACCGTAAGCGGTGTAGGGTATAGGGTTTAGGGTCTAGGGATGGGACCTCCGGGTTCAGAGCTTGGGGTTTCTGCTTTGGAGAGTCTAGCGTTTCGGGGTTTAGGGTACGGGGATTCCCTAAAATCCTGAAACTCTAAACTCTAAAACTCTAAATCCCTCAACCCCTAGTTGACTTAATACCTAAACCCTTAACCCCTAACCCCTCAAAATCTTGAAACCCTAAACACTAAACCCCTAGTTGAACCCTGACTCCTGAATGCCCTTGGGGCCTTGTAGACCCAAGATCCAATAGAAGGATGCTCAAAGACAATCTGCGCTTCCTCCGTGACACCTCGGCATATACACAAGGGTTCCTCCAAGTCTTCGTTAGGGACTCCTGTAACGGTCTTGGGTTTAGGCTGCAGGTTTTTGGGTGTAGAGCGGCCGACATGGGGTGTGTCTCAAGCCAGACGGTTATGGGGAACCGTTTTCGACGTGTCTTTGGGCGGCCTGTCTATTTTTGCTGAAATGCCCTTACCCAAACCCTACCTCCAACGATAGATCCCAAAAGGCTAAACCGTCAAGGAACCCTTCAAAACTCTCACAGCCATAAATCCCAGGCAAAACCGTCAAAGAATCCTTGAAAGAGCCCTTTTAAGATCCTAACTGGCAGAATTTCTTGGCGCAGCACCAAGAGATGCCGGGCTGTACTCAATGGTGATCTCGGTGGACTCCAAAGGCGGCAGAATGATCCGGTTGTTCATGACCTTGCAGATGCATGATGGTGCCTATTAGGGTTCCGAGAACAAGGCATCTTCTTAGGCCTTACCAGAAGACTTCCCATAAGGGCTCCTTGGGGGCTGAGTACCCTAGCCCAGAAAAGGTTAACCTTTTCAATTATGGTAGGATTATACAAACCCCAAAAGGTTAAAGGTTACTTACTCAGCCACTAAGGCTCTATTCGTCTGTCAGGCTTAGGGTTTGGGAGGGGTTATTGAGGGCCTTCTTCTAGCGTCGAAGCAACTGCCTGTTGAGAGAGCCAAGCATCTCTGGGATGTCGCAGCCGTTCCAAAACAGAAGCCCATGCACACAAATCCCCAAACCCCAAACTACCAGGCATCCAACCAAAAACTGTTGCCAGTATGATGCTGATTCTGGTGAGGATGGCAATGATAGTATAACGTTCATAATGACAATGACGATGACGATGAGAACACAATGGCAGTGTTGATAATCATGATAATGATAGTAAAACTTAATACCGAAAAGCGATAAAACGATACTACGAGTGATAATACTGATAACGACAGTCAATGTAATAACGATCATACTGACAACCGTGATAAGACTGAAACTTACGGGTAATCGTAGTGCTAGTGACAATACTGATGATAATGATGACCATGATAGCAACAGTAATGATGATAATGTGACCATCTTGACAGCTTCATTGATGACAGTGATACTCAAAACTGCTACAATCTCTGAAACAACACGGCCAAGCCTTGAAATTGATCTTGTTCGTGGAGCGATGCTTCAGAGCCTCAGGAGGAGGCGTGTCTTCTTCCGTAATGTAGGGGTAATAACTAGAATAGGGTTTTGGGGGGTTCCTTATTATACTTATTGTACTATATACCCGATACCCCAAACCCTATTCTAATTATTAAGGCCCCAATATTAGGTGTGCGGAGGCCCGAAGTTTGAGGCTTTGGTGCTCGGGCCCCTAAGCCCGAAATGCTGTTCTTGACTTTAGGATGGTTGGAGGCCTCAGAAGGTGGGATGAAGGTAGGTAGGGTCAAGGATCCCTTATA